CTAAAATAAATTAATTATAGTAACACAAGATAAATCCAATCACTACCCGAGATGATCAGTAAGTAGGCCTAGCAGCCTTGCATTGTAACCAATTGTAAACTACCGCTCGCGCAGCGAGCCAATCACAATCCAACATTTTTGGGGTTCACCTAGACACCATGACTACGTAGACCCCAATCGGAGAGTACGTAGACATTTCCTTCTTGTATATTTCTCCTGCAATCTCTCAGTAGTGGTGCTTCTACTAACATGAACTAACGCCGACATCATCTCGCTTTCCTCGTGCTGCGTCACCAAAACGTGTGTCCAAAGACCCATGTCCCCCGTCAGGTGACGTCACGGAGCACAAAAAGAAGATGGACGAAACGCTGAAGACTATTTTGGGAACAGTCACGTGGTTGGAGTACCCGGGGCATGATGCCAGCCAGAGGGTAGGTCGCAGGAACTGGGATAATATCATGTACAATGTATATATAATGTGATGCTGGACAATCACTAAAGACAGTGGACATAAAAAGTGTCAAGACACGGTGGAATCAGGCACTCGTCATTTTGGGGCATTTGGAGTTATGTATCATCTTAAAGCTTGTTTATTCATCTTACTTTTGATTTAAACTTTAAAAAAAACCCAAAAACTCCCATCTATCTGGCATAGATGTGGAGAAATTTGCGATTGAATGAGGTAGGGGCGGTTAGTTTTACAGGTAAAATTAGCGAGAAAATGGCGGCCAAAATGTGGTGATTTCCTAAGCTTGCGAGTCTTTGCAAACTGAAAATGTACTTTTTTGTGTGCCTTTAATCAATGTTTTCAGAGAAATCCATTCAGAAATGTGTTATATGGACCTTAAAGGTGTTCAGTCAAAAAACAAAATTTTATTCGATAAAAATTGCCAGACTAACAGAAAAAGGTCGGTTTCTTCAATTTCAGTATTTTGACGAGCGCCTGATTTCACTACGATGCATCACAAATAGAAGCAACAGAAATATGGTTTCTTAGAAGACTGCTAAGAGATTCGTGGAAGGAAGAGAAATCAAATGAGGTAGTGCTTGATGAAGCCCACGAGGGACGCTCAATGTTAAAAACA